TATCGAACGTTAAAAAACTTTAGAGAAGACTATGAAGCCACTTAGGTGTTGCTTCGAGTACTCCAACACACACGCATCCAATTTAAACATAGGGCCGGAGCCAAGATTTAATGTTTATAAGTTCAGGACTTTTGCCCTTTTACATTATTAGGTCATAAATTCATTAATTTGTATACATTCTTAAGGTAAAATATAAACTTTGGATCAAAGTTATACAGGTTCGACTGATCAATTTGTATCTCGAAGGCAAGCTCCGCTTCTGGTTGAGATTAAGTTTTCGTCTTGTTAAAATTTATATACTAGTAGAAAATGCAAAGAATCTATACTTTCAATTAATAAATTAATTTTCATAAACATTGGATTAAAATTGACTTAAATATAGCGATATCGATAATAAGGACCAATACAACAAAATCTAACTTACTTATGACTGAGGCATGTGATTGTTGTTGTTGTACATACATCTTCCTATCTCGAGTAATAGTTCTAGCTTCAAGCTAGTCACCTTAATTAATTATTTAAAGCGGAAACTTAGCATATTTGACCATTTTCCCTTGTAGAAAGGTTCACGTGTAGGACATGTGGCATCACCCGATGCTTTTAGAGACTAAACTCCTGGCGTTAGTTAATACGCTCAAACCTAACTCATTTTTATAACGATAAAACTACGTCTGACTCCAATTATTATTAGTATTATAGGGCAAATTTGACTCTTTTTCCTTTAGAAACATAACATTATTTAAAGTGGTATAAATAAAAGAGTCAAGTTTATAGGTCTAGATATGTTGTATCAATCAATCACTATGACAATATTTGTATATATTGTTTAGCATCCAAAAAAAACAAAAGAAGGAAAAATTGAAGCAAATTTGTGGGATATATAACAAGTGAAAAGGTGAAAGTAATAGAAGTCAACAAATACAGTATGAAAGCTAATTAGTGGCTACCAAGACTTTACACATTTGTATGTTTCAAATTGAGTTGGACATGATGGCAACATAAATACAGTAATTTATATATTTATATAAAATAGAAACAAGAATTAATTGAAGATATTACCATAATAAGAAAGATGAAAAAGATATGCATTAAAGATTTGGAATTAACTTGAAAAAGATAAATTGCATTCTTGAACAAATTAATAATGACGGAGTTGGAATTTTCACTGAGGGAGTTTAATTAAAATATGAAGAGCTAAACATATAAAAAAGTCTAAGGAAGTTCAACATTTACTATATATAAACGAGAGTTCATGTAGAACCAAATATAAATACATGGGGCACACAAGTCACGTCCAAATTTGTTAGAATGTATAGTCCTGTTGAGTCTAACATTGTTGGGAATATGTGTATTACGTGTCTATTTATATGGTCTTGAATAATTTTTCCTTCTCGTGAACTAGTTTTTGGAGGTTGAGTTTGATCTAAGATAGAGGCGGAGCTAGAATTTGTAATTTATGAATAATACATGACACCTTCCACGCAAAAAAAAAAGACCGATCTATACACTTTGGTAATGGCTATATATATTCCTTCTATTTTTTTTAGTTGTCATGTATACTAAAAACACGTATTTCAAAATAGTTGTCAATTTAAACAATCAAAAGAAAATTGATTGTTTTTTCTTCAACTTTATTTTTTAACTTTAATTATTCTAGAATTAAGAGACACGAATTAACGAGGGATATTGGCCTAATCCGAGTGTGGAATCGAGGACATTCATGATTGGTGCTACTAATTAGTACTCATATATCTTATAATAATAATAGTAGATATAATTAAGTAACTTGTATTTCATTATTTTAAGTGGTTTAGTAATTATGAGAACCCAATAAGTAAACTATATATCCTTTTCAGAATTCATAAATTTAAAAATTCAAATTTACCTATAAAAAAGACTAGATACTTATACTGATGATCTAGAGCTAAGTTTAATATAGTAAAATAATCGAGGCACGTTCAAACTGAGTTGAAACCACGAAATTAACCATTTGGTCATGGATGCCAACACAAGTAGTTATAATATGACCTTAATGTACCTATTATTATTTTAAAAAAATGTTTTAAGTACAAAACATGTTTCTTTTTTTATAATATGATCCATTTCTTCAGGTATACTTTCTCTTTTCATACAGATATATATGTCTTCACATTCTCATCATGATATATACAGGCAAAAAAATTGTTATCTTTAAAGATATTATTATAAACTTCACAATTGTTTAAATTTTAATGGTCAGCATGAATTAATTAAAGGTGTTAGAACAACAGTTATATTTATCATTAATATTTTTGTCTGTCCTTTTTTGTGCCAAGAAGCAAATAGAAAATATTAATTAATCTTTTTCTGCTAATCAAATTGAAGACAAACAGATATGGAACAAATTTTTTTATTTGGCAATAAGGAAAAAGAAATATTATTTCGTCGAATTGAGCAAGAACAGATATATATGTCCTTAAAGTTATTTTTTATTATATAAAAAACGATAGATTCATTTTTAAAAGTTTAAAATACAAAATTTGTCCAAATAGGTCAAATAAAATGATGTCAGATGCATTAGTTAATATAATAATTAATTATAAAACCATGGGATGTTCTTTTAGTGCACCATGGTTTATGTCCTATTTCCTCTTTTATTATTCCATTTTTTTTCTCACTCGGAGTTTGGAATCTATATTGAGCCTCAATTAAATTTGAATCGCGCGCGCACTAAGCCCATTAAGGGATGTCGCTCCCAATATGGTTTTCTTCTTACCCAGGTTCAAATTCAAAACCTCTGATTAAGGATGGAGCAATCCCACCACCGCACTACAACCCAAGTATAATTCAAGTTGTTTACAGTACTTCTTTAAGTTGTTGAAACATAGTAACGTGTTTCAAAGATAAATGCAACAAGTAACATGATAAACCATATAGTTGTCAATGATTTATCTATCGAAACATGCCTCGAACTTAACGAGTCAATTGTCATATGGAGGAAATTTTATAGGCAAATTAAGTTGTCACACTCTTTCGCCAAATCAAATACTTGGTTTAGTTAATTTTTAGGTGTATTTTGATAAATAATTGATAATAATTTTGATAGAAAACACAAACACATGATAATTCAAATACACAACTAAAAAAATGACACTTCAAATATCTTTTTTGACTATTATCTAATTTTTAAAATTATTGGAACGTAATGTTACTACGATTTTTTTAAATATCATTAGTCTTTTAAGTCTTTTTATATTCCATGTCGATGCATATTACATAATTATTTTCTTTAGAATATAAGTTATATGTATCGTTAGTGTAACAACTTCTTATCGATATATACCTTCTTTAGAGTATAAGTTATATATATTGTTAATGTAAAAGACTTTTTATGAATAAACCTTCTTAAAATGTGTTATCTTTAGTTATATTAAGCTTTTGGTTTGTTATAGTAAAAGAAAATAATCATTATTTACTATAAACAAAAATAATACTATAATACAAATTGTCTACTAGTAAATGTGATATCGGCCCAGGATTAATGGACCACATCCAATCCAACCCATATTGATGAAACAAACAAAAAATAAAGGGCAGGATTAAAGATATTACATAAGGGATACACATAAATGTATATAAAATACATTACGGGTTTAACTGAATCTCGTATTTTTCTTTACACATATATATACTACAAATAATAAGTTATTTACTCCGTGATTATCAAAGTGCAATATGATCAATGATACGAAAATATAATGATTGAACTCATTAAATTCAAATTATAACTCCGACTCTAATAAATATAATTCATCATACTAGCTAGTAGTATATATTATCTTTTGCTACACCATTTCACCATTTAAAGCCTCTGTAAGTCTTATCTATGTACACATAATTGATAATTTCACTCCAAGTGGGTTCTGTAGAATTTCAGAGTCATTAGCTATTTCCATCTAGACATACATATATAGTCATTTTTATTTATATCTATATACATCTTATTACTATAGTAATGTTTAGGAATTCACGGGAATAGGTATTTTTTTATTTATTTTGTCAAGTAGTATATAAATGAATATATTTATTACTTAAAATATTTACACAAGCATAAATTTAGGCAAATGACAATCTCTGACACTCTAGAACACAAAATTCCTGCTTTAATCATAAATAGTACACAAGACTTTTTAGTCTCGACATAATTTTAATTATTTTTTTTGGTGTATAGTTTTAATTGTGCATAGATTTGTTTGATAGCATGCTGAAGTGTCATTTTATCAAAAGACACGTTACTTTCATACTTCTGTAATATCGCAAAAATTGTGGCTAAGTGATAAATATTCATTTATTTTTAAGTAGATATTTGGGGTTTAGTTAGAATTCTAGGTAAGGAGTAGTTGTCCTTAGTTTGGAGTATTTTACCCTTTAGGATGTCACAATATGAATCCAAATTAGTCGAATCTCAAAACAGATATGAGATATCGAATACAGTCTTGTAAACAACTATAAGTCTTGAGTTCGAGTTGCGTAAATTAGGAAAACTTCTAATAAGAAGCGTTTTCCCTTTCATGGACTCTAGTAATTTGAGCATCTGAATTATTGGACCAACAAATTCAAAATGCTATTTTTATGAAAGTTGAAATAACTTAACGTCTTCATTCCTAACTCATATTTATTAGTTACTATACTTGATAACTTTAGCTCTACTCATATTTATTTCTAGTTACTATACTTGATAGCTTTAGCTACACTCATATTTTTTATATTTTAAAAGTATACTATTAGAATGGCAAGTCAAAGAAATCATTAATATCTAATAGCAATAGCAGTTGGCAATCATAAAAATCTCCTTGACCCCAAAAAAATAAACGTATAAAGAAAAATAGCCTGTACATCTTAAGATCATTAAAAATTCTGTTGGGAGAGTTATCTCAAATGAATCCTATAGTATACGATCCGAATTTAATCGAAGATTTAATATAGGCTCCGGACAAACAAAAATAATAAACATAATAAAGTAGCACCAAATATTATATAACTTTTTATATATAATAATTTGTTAATTCTCTCATAGGGTACAAATATTATCAAACACCACTATGAGGAAAATTACAAACTTTTGAGATTTACAAGCATACCCCTCTCCAGATAATTTCCAGTTAGTTATATATTTTATAACAATAAACACAAAATCCCAAAAGCCAAAAAAAAAAAAATACAAAAAAAAGACAGAAGCAATAAAGTAGATTCCTGAACTTCTGTTATAAAAATTTAAAACTTCAGACAACCTAGCTAGCTCCACCTAGATTTAACTAACTCCACTTTCTTCATCGACGGAACTTACTGACTCGATTAATTTTCGTCTTTTTTATTTACCTTAGCATTGACGAAGTTAGAGATTCGAAAAAATCTTCGTCACATGGAATTGTAAGTCCCATGTCATGATCGAATCCAAATTCTTCTTCGGCCCGTTGAAGTAGTACCCGAAATTCGGGCCTCGATAAAATTGAAATTGGAACAATGTACCTTGTTCGATTTTTTCCAACGTAAACTACAAAATGTCCTCTTGGTACGTCCATTGGAAGACCACCTTGTTGTTCGTCTTGATATCCATTTTTCTTTCCTATACTCGAACATCTTTTTAGTATTTGCTTCAACATTGCCCTTTGTGACAACTTGTTTGATTTCCCAATAGCCATTTCTTGAAAAGAGAAAGAAAAAAAAATGATTTGAGAGAAATTAAAAGAAAAGTTGAGAAAATGATTGTGGTGGAAATGAAAGGGAGTTTAAGGGGTATATAAATAGAATTTTTTAAATTTTTTATTTTTTTATTTTTATTTTTAGAAACAAAAGCATGTGGGGTTGGGGTGGTAAAGAAGAGAGAGATAACACGGGTGTTATAGAAGGGAGTGTTAACGGCTCAAGGACAAATGTAAAAAGTGTATGTTGGGAGCCAAAGGCTTTGGGTTTATTACCATTTTGTAGCCTTTTATCAAGACATGTTGGTCCCTTTAACTCTATTTTCAATAAGGTTCGTTCATCCTTAACTATGAAAGATTATATCGAGATAGGTAAGATTTTTCCATCGTTAATCAGAGATATGAGGCATCTACATTTTGATTGGTATAAAAAAGAAGAAGGAATAGTATGGAGCATTTTCTTGTTCCTCTTTTAATGAGCCTTATAGTACATTACTTTATCTAATACCGTGCAAAATAAGTACTTCCTCCGCTCACTATTAATTGTCATACTTTTCATTTTTAGAGTCAAACTATAAAAACTTTGATCAACATTTTAGGATATATTTTTTCATCATATTGATATGTAAAAAATTGCAACGAATAATTTTTGAATATCTAAATTTTTTGTTTAAAAAATCGAATTAATGTAATCTAATTTAACTTTGAAAATAAGTCAAATTGACTTTCGAAAAGCGCAACATGACAAATAAAAGTGGACGGAGGGAGTGGTATATAAGGGTTATTCACCCTTGAATAGAGAGAGATTTGAGATTTGAAGAGAATGAACACTTTTTCTTTTAATGAGCCTTACTTGACATGGATTAAGATTATTCTAGACTTTAATGTGAATACAAGACATCAAATAGAAAAAGGTCCATTTAGTGCTAGTTAGAAATTTCGAATGGCTTATATTTTGTATTGTTTTTTTAATTTTTGTACCTCATAACATATCATTTTTACACGGGACATAAGCTTATATTTTAGTATTATAATATTCACAAGTTATGTCAAGACTTGATTTCAGTTTCTAAAGAATGATATACTCCATTATGCATAAGTTAGATTGCTAAAAGGAAAAAAATTAACTATTAACTTATTTGAAAGACAAAAAAAATCAACGTATTTAAAGAAATACATGCAATTTTATAATCTCGAATTCAAACTTAGTGGATTCCTAAAAAAAAGTCCATGTAACTATTCATAAATTAACAAAATTAGCAACCTAGAAAATAAGGTAGAAGTTACATTCTATAAACCTACTATAAGTACTAGTACTATTGATTCTTTTCTTCTTTTTTTTGTGAAAAAGGGAAGTTATTAGAAATAATAAAAAAGAAAATAGTTAACATACAACAATAGGAAATTCAACTCACATCGTTGTAAAACTAAGAACTTGTCTTGTTTCAATTAATCACGAACCTTCCTAGTAATTTTCTATAGTGTCTTGTTATGAACTTCCTATTTTTTCAACCACATTCCTTAATTTGTCTTGTGGTAGAATAGAAAATGGAGCAGAGACTACTACTATTATCCCTAACTTGTATATTTAATTTTCTTGTTGACTTGACTAATCACAAAATAATTGATTTGAAATTTCATTTGTCATAGTATTTCTTTGATTAACATAAATTAAGCACCTTAACCAACTTTTCAAAGTCAACAAATGTGTAACATGTTACCAAGGACAACACACACTCTCTCTTTAATTATTATTTTTTATTTCACCAGCATGTTTGATATTCGTATTGTAGTTTGATTAATTTGAATTGAAGCATTGCAGAGGCCCATCTTCGGAGGGCATGATCTTTCAACAATCTCATCACAACTCATGTTGATACCAAAAACAACTCTCTCAACATCCAATAGTAAACGATCAAGTTCGAAATGTAAAATTGACCAAAGTCATATAATGGATCTTAAAATGGACCTTTTTGACATAATTTATAAACATTAATAGCGTAATGTAAACACAATTTGAATTTGTGATAGTTGGTAAATTAATTAATTGTGTATTTTTTTATTAGGCTATTTATGTAGTTACCAAATTATGTAATATTTTTCATGCATAAAACTTAAACTATAACATAAATACAAAGAGTTCAACTCATATCCACCAACTACATAAACTTTTACTCTTTTATTACAATTTAAATTAACTATAATCGGATAATAATATTTTGTTTTTTAAGCACTTATTATTATATAAGTAAACATAATAAAATGTTATAGAAAACGTGTACACTATATATCGTACACAAAGCTTCAATTGATCAAATGATATAACATCTAATATGTAGCCTTCGGGCTTCTTGAATAAAAACCTCAATTAGGAATGACAATGGAGTGAGGCAGACTGAAGCCTAGGTCGAATGGAACGGGACTCAAAAATTAGAAACTAAGAAGTACGCATGATGTTACACAAGTAACAAGTTGAAAAAGAAGTATGTGTTACAACACCGAAAATATGTTTATATGGTGCTTTCATTTTCCGAGAAATATTGCAATATATTGTTGGGATATACACCATTAACCTTATAGGCAGAGCTAGGTGGAGGTTTGTGGTTTCGGACGAATTCATTAACTTTTTTGTAGACCATGTATTTGTATTAAAAAATTAAATGAATATATATGTATATTACCTTGTGAACTCCCTTACAATATTAATTGTCAGCTTAGTGGTAAGAAAGAAATGGTAGAAATGTATATTAATGATACTTCTTTTTGAGTCATTTCTAGTAGAATGATTTGTAATTTATTATGGTATATAAGTAGCTAGAAAATAAATAAGTTTTTATACAATATTTGTCCACCCAACTCCAAATTATTGAAAGAGTTTTGAGAAGGGAAATTTCTAGTAGAATGATTTATAATTTATTATGGTATATAAATAGCTAGAAAATAAATAAGTTTTCATACAATATTTGTCCACCCAAGTATTGAAAGAATTCACTTGAACTGTGTCTACGGTAGAACTACTGAAGTCTATTCGGTTGGAGGTATCTGCTCATGCTTCAAGAGTTATTTATCAAATCAAATTTCAGTAAGTTTATATGGTCTAGCATAATTGTATGTGTTCTAGCATAAATGTATGTGTTATCTATTATTCATCTTGGCAGTATGATTCTAGAATATTTCCATTGATAATATTGAAGGCAAGTCACATAAAATAGTGTTATCTTAAAATTAGTTTTGATTACCCTATGATAGTATTTGTATGACGTTGATCGGAAATAATAAAAGAAATATTTGATTATTAAAAGGGATTAGGCTGTGGATTTCGGTTGAGTCTATTCATGATGTGACGAAATATTATTGAAAGTTGATCAAATGACATTATATTAAATTCTTTGATTAGTTATGTTAATCATATCTTTTATGATTTGTATTCTCAAGTCAATATTAAAACTTTAACTTCACAATAAATATTTCCTCATAATATGTATTTATATTGAAAAGGATTATTTCAAATAAATTAAATACAAGCCACTTTTTTGTATTACAAAATATTAGTTCTTGTTGTAGAAAATATTATTTGAGAAATATAGAGATTTAAGTAATTTTATTCTAAGTTGTAAAATAATAGACAAAATTCTAGGGTCAAAAACTTAAATTTTTTAACTAAAACTTGAAAAGGGAGATTTACTACATTCCTCATAGCATGACCATACAAGAAAATGGTGAAATTTTATAATATATATTAGTTAATTTTCTAGTGGTTATAAAAACTTCTTTGCTGAAGAATTAAAATTAATTGAATTTGATACATTAAATTAAAATTTGAAAACTATATATAATGCTTTCCTATATCACTATTATATATTACTGTTATAGGCAATGACTATAAATCACAATAATTAATAATTTAAAATATTTAAAAATTATATTAAAATTTAATTAACTCTCCAAATTTTATATGTGTTAAAAATAATATAATACGTATTGAACTCATGCTAGCACGGACTCATGTATCTAGTTATTATATAAGAAAATTATGAATATTTATATCAGAAAGGCATGAAAATTATAGTATTGTTTTTCTTAATGTACTAAACATCTAAAAACTAAAAAGAAAAACTGTAAAATTTAGAAAGGCTATTCATAATACTCATAATGTCGTATATAAGAAAGTAATGAAATGTTTTATTAATTTAAAATGTCAAATCATGAATTTTACTCAAAATATGATGAACATCTAATCAGCTCATACGTCCAAAAATTGTCAGATAATAGTGTACTCTAATATGTGGATTAATTATTCCTATTTCTTATCCCTTTTTCAGAATCCAAAAAGGCTACGAGGAACATATATACTTTCTAATTATTCTTAATTTCGTAGTAATTAACTTAATCTCATTATTTTATATTGTCTATTAAAAGAAATGTTTGAAGGTTTTAATTTTAGATTGATAAATTTATAGTTTTGCATATGAGAAAACTAAAAGAATGAATTTCAAATACAAATATACATGAATTTCTTTTAAAAACTTTATGAAATTTTATAAATTTTAACTTTAGACTACTAATTATATTGAAATGTTTCGAAATATTGTTCCATATATTTACCTTTCAATTTTATTTTATTTTCAAATTCACTTTCGTCCTTATTTCACATGCACCTAAGTCTGTACCACATTTGGCTACATTGAAAAGTCTATTTCAAACTAATATGATTAATTAATTAGCTTTTGTTAGTAGTGCTAATACACCTCATCTAATTAATAAATTAATTATAAGGACTTCTCACCTAAAAATTACTGTAGTTGATTGGACATAATTGTCAAGGAGAGGATAAAAGATTAAAATTAGTGGCATATTCTTAAGAATAATATCCCTGACCTTTCTTACTTAAATTATAATAGCAAAATTCTACAAGTATGACATGAGGATGATATAGACAGATTTAAGATTTAAATTTTATGAATTTGTATAACGAAGTTATTACTTAATAATTGAGGTTATAATCAAGTATTTTATTAATTTCTTGATGCATATATAATACTATAAGATTCAGATAAAAACTATT